ACACACACATACAGATGTGCCATATACAAGTGAATTGGAGCCTAACTGTTCTGAAATGCCATTGTAAATAAAACATATGATGACAGCCGTAAGCATCTAAAGGTGAACAAGGTCCTCAGATGACAGTTAAAACAACAACAAAAAAAACTTTGTTAAATCCCTTCTAAGTCCTGACGTGATACGTATAAATTAAACATATTTGGTTACCGTGAAGATGACCGCAGAGCAGATGGAGGCACCTCACTTTTAATTTGCGACCCCCTCGTTGTAAAATGTGTATGCATTCTCCGATGTCTCAGACATGAACATCTCGTCCTTATATGAAACTTGCAGGCGAGCAGGGAACACGAGCCCAAACTTAATTCCTTTCTCGTAGAGAACCTGTTTGATTTTGTTGAAAGCAGCTCACTTCTTCACAGTGTCTGCTCTGATATCTGGGTACATTTGTATTGTTGTTCAGTTCTTCAGCTCATGCTGCCTGGTCCAGGGAAGCACCTTCTCCTTCCACACAAGGTCTTGGTTTACATGCCGGGCCGGGATTAGGAGCAAGAGAGCGATGAGCTCTCTTGAGCTCTGGGGTTTTTGAGAAGACATCCAGTTTAACATAAACTGTCGGATCCTGGTCCTTCTCCTTGACTTTTGGGATGTTTATTATCTGAAGGTTGGCTCTGTGGGACCTTTTTTTAAGATCCTTGGGGTGGACTTGAAGAGACTTGTTCTGGGTCTGCAGCAACTTCACAGTCTTTTATGTTCTTACCAAGTGCTCAAAGTTCTCCCCCGTTAGGCACTCTGTAGCAATGAGGTTGTTTTTCAATTCAATTCAATTTAAATCCAAAAAAGTTCAATCTGGTCCTCTGGACATTCAAATTGACATTGAATGTCCAGAGGACCAGATTGAACTTTTTTGGATTTTTCTACCTGGATTATTGAGCATGCATCAGGATAATTCAATTTAAAGTTTATTTATATAGCACATTTAAAAAAAAACAACCACAGCTGACCAAAGGGCTTCACAAGAATTACAACACTGTAGATAAAAATATGATAAAATAAATAAAATTGAATTAAATAAAAATAAAAGTATAATAAAAATTTGCAGTAAAATACCAATAAAATAATAGTACTAATACAAACCAAGACAAAACTATTTCATATTTGCTACAATTTCTCAAAAAACTCAAATCAGTTACTAGTTTGAGGTCGAAGGCCAGGGAGAATAGATGTGTTTTCATTCTGGACTTAAACTGATCTACTGGCAGAGAGAGCTTCACAGACAGAGGGAGGCTGTTCCACAGTCTGGGTGCTGCCACAGAGAAGGCTCTGTCACTTCTAGTCTTGAACCTCGCTTTAGGGATAGCCAACAAGAGCTGGTCGGCTGACCTCAGGGCTCTGGATGGAGTGTAGGGCTGCAGCACCTCGCTTAGGTAAGATAGGCCCATGGAGTTTAAACACTTAAAAACAGTCAATAAAACAAAATTTCACCCAAAATGCAACAGGGAGCCAGTGAAGGGAGTGTAAAACGGGGGTAATAGATTTGTGCCTCCTTGTATTCGTCAACAGATGGGCTGCAGCATTTTGGAGGTAGCTGTTAAAGTTACTCACTGTTTCACGCACCACTGAAGACCGCAACATTTGAACTAACTCCTGGATTAATACAGACAGATCTTCCTTCAGTGAGACTCACTGCTTCTCCAGTTCGATCACCGGTTGGCTCATGAATAACGTGCTTGGAGATCTTTGACTCGCACCAAATGAGTTGTTAGCTTCATCACTTGTGGCTGCCATTATAGCAAGTTTGCTAGCAACGGTAGCTGCACCACCGCGTGCGACTGAGCAGTTTGATGCACTACTTGCCTTAGATTTCCCACTCATTTAATCCTTGTTTAAATGCTGTTTGACTTTCGTCGCTAGATACCCTATAAAAAATAATAAAAGTGGTGTTTAAAACAGTTTCCACAAGAGAACTCGTTCACCTGACTTTCCTCGACACCATCATCACCAGAACTTTAAATGTCATATTTTAAATTAGTATAGTTCTCATTCCTAATAATGTGTTTTGTCCTCTGGTACCATAGAAGAAATTATCTCAAATATCTGAGACACTTGGCAGCACTGTATTTGCTTGTGCCTAAGCTGTGTTTGCTCCTGTTCATGGCAGTGCTGCAGGTGGGAGGTATAATCACAAACTTCACAGTGTTTTTCTCCAAACAGATAATGAAGTACTCAGAGCAGAGGATCCCCACGCTTAATGAGTACTGTGTGGTCTGTGACGAACAGCACGTCTTTCAGAATGGATCCATGCTGAAGGTATCAGACAGAAAAAGAGAAACACATTTATATTATTAGTATATTGTAGTAAATAGTATTACTTTCATAATAATTTAAGAAATGTCTCAAAGTCATCTATGTAAAGTGTTTCTCCTTTATAATATGATCTTGTTTATTGAATTTTCCAATCTTGAACATAGATGTAGTCTTTTACTGTAAGACCACACGCACTGAGGATAGTTTGTGTTTCTTCCTGTGTGTGGTGTGTGTCTTTATGCAGCCTGCTGTGTGCACCAGGGAGCTGTGTGTGTTCTCCTTCTACACTCTGGGTGTGATGTCCGGAGCTGCTGAGGAGGTGGCCACAGGAGCAGAGGTGACGACTCACAATGCAGCAGTATTTGAGACTGTTTTTCATTTTGATCTGTTTTAAAAGATTTCCGTTTCCCCATTATTATTTTTATTTTTTCGTTCTGTAAATCAAATCAGAAAACAATAAAAATCTCAAACCACATTATAATACATTTTCCGCCTTGAATTATTATTATTTTTTAATTAGCAAGTGAACAAAAATGACTTGGTAAAGTTTCCTACAACTCCTTCCAGGTGGTGGATCTACTTGTGGCCATGTGTCGAGCTGCACTCGAGTCTCCCAGAAAGAGCATCATCTTTGAGCCCTACCCATCAGTCGTTGATCCAAATGATCCCAAGACTCTTGCATTTAACCCAAAGGTCAGCATCCTCTCTGCTGGATTTAGGATTACAAGGGGGAAAAAACTTTGAAATTTAATGTTATCATTTTTGCTTAATTTGAGAAATCAGCTTGGCATTCTTTAAAAATAACTCATTTTCTGAATTAACATTTAAACAGATGCTGAGTAGTTAAAGTACAAACATGTTTTAAAAATAAACCACAGCAAACCTGAGGTGATTTTAGACACCATTATGTTGTTCCCTTTCTCCATGCATACATCTGGCTCAACGGATGAACACAGAAGAAGAATTATGAAAGACTGCAGAAAGCGCTGGATAGCGTCATGTCCATCCGTGAAATGACACAGGTACAAGAGGGAATTTGAAAGGGACAAGCCTGGGTCAAGAGCAGACCGATTGTATTTTTTCATTCAGTGGTCCGTGGTGCTTGTTTCTCTTTTATAGATGGACTGCATCTAGACAATCACATCTTCAATACCATTTAAAATATCCACAAATCACTTTTGAATCTAGATATTTATTGCTTTGATGTCAAGAAAAAACAAACAGAAAGTAGCATATGTTCATGTTTTTTTTTTGTTTTTTTTTTCCCCAGGGTTCATATCTTGAGATCAAGAAACAGATGGACAAACTGGACCCTTTGGCCCATCCCCTGCTACAATGGTGAGTGGAGAGAATCTGATCCAAAAATGGATTTACATTGCTGTCTGGGTCAACACAGTCCGATTTATTGTTGCTTATCAGAGTGCATGTTAAGGCAGACATTTTAGGTAAATGTTTTTGATGACTAAGAGCATTTGAAAAAATAAAATATTGTGAAAAAGTTATTTTTTTTGCCAATCATTTCAGAAAGTGAAACTCAAATTTATGGCTTACAAATAATAATAATTAAAAAAACTAAATTCAGTGTCTCAGAAAATTAGAATATTGTGAAGAGGTTCAGTATTGGAAACTCCTGGTTTAACACCCTAATCAGCTGATTAATGTTTCAATTCAGTTTATTTATATAGTGTCAAATCACAACAGAAGTCATCTCAGGGCACTGAGCAGAAATATTCATATATATATATATATAAATAGGTTAACACTATTTATCTGAGGAGCAGCCTGCTTTGGATTTTTATTGCAGAAGTCTCAACTTGAGCAAGCGTGAAGGCGACAATGGAAAGGAAAAACTCACTCATGAGGAAGAAACCTTTAGCAGAACCAGGCTCAGGACAAGCGGCCATCTGCTTCGACTGGCTGAGTTTGAGAGGAACAGGAAGAAGGAACAGATACACAATGGCAGGTCAAGAATCACATGTTGAGATAGAAATAGTATCAAATGAAAACTATTCAATTTTAACTATTCGTTTAAGGAAATTAGGTCAATTTGTCCTCTAGTAGTCTAAGCTTATGGCAGCATAACACGAAAACCCTAACTATAGGATTTATCAAAAAGGAAAGTCTTAAACCCAGTCTTAAAACTGGATAATGTTTCAGCCTTACGGACAGAAACTGGAACTTGGTTCCACAAGAGAGGAGCCTGATAACTGAAAGATCTTCGTCCCATACTGTTTTTGGAAACTGTAGGAACTGCAAGTAAGCCTGCAGTCTGAGAGCGAAGTGCTCTGTTAGGAAAATATGGAAAAATAAGATCTGTAATATAAGATGGAGCTAGGTTGTTGAGAGCTTTGTAGGTTATGGGCAGAAACGTGTACCATCAGAAACTGATTTTGAATTGCTCAGACTGAATATGCATTTGTGTAATTTGAAATTAAATCCATTGGTTTGAAAATTAATTTCACTAAACTGAAACTGAATTTAATGGGTTGAAACTGAATTTGTTTGCTTTGAAACTTTATTTCGTAGTACTGACAATGCAGTGACGATTTGACGACCGCATTTTCCGGTGTATCTGTCACAGTTTTTGAAACAATTTATCAGTGCTGCGATTTAAACGCCAAAGCAACTTATAAACATTTTTTTCCATATTCATAACACAATTTTTGACTAATATTTGACGCTTTCATTCATTCGGACATGTACCAGATTAAACATTACAGGGAAAGGGATGGATGCACTGCGGAGGAGGATCATCCCTTGCAGGGAACCTCCCCCCCGTGTCTGGCTGGCTCCCGCTGGGCATATTTCCTTTGTGGCGGTGTGCCATCCATCCATCCATCCATCCATCCATCCATCCATCCATCCATCCATCCATCCGTCCGTGTATTCGTCTGTCCATCCATCCATCCATCCATCCATCCATCCATCCATCCATCCGTCCGTGTATTCGTATGTCCATCCATCCATCCATCCATCCATCCATCCATCCATCCATCCATCCATCCATCCATCCATCCATCGTGGTTCCGGCATCCATCCATCCACCTATCAATCCATCCATCGTGGATCACGCGCCTCGCTGCCCCCCTTCCTCTAAGTTCTGGCAGCGGAGGAAGGGGGCACCGAGGCACGTGATCCGTGGCCCTGGGAAGCAGCAAGGTG